CTACTACTATATATATATATATATATATATATACACACACACACACACACACACACACACACACACACACACACACACACACTCCTGGTGTGTTGTATCTGCTTATTTCAGTCACACATAAAAACTGTTTTGTTTTACTCGTTAGTACCACAGAGTCAACACAGAGTGGGAATTAGATACTATATACTAGATTATGCAAGTCTTTCTTAAAATCAATAGTACTATTCATCTAAATGCTTTCCAAAGTGATTAAGGAGTGCACCATCTAGCACTATGCTATTATACATTTCAGAAATGCTAATAAAAGAGAAAAGCCAAGAGAAAACACTACTGTCACACTTAATTTTTGCTTTTGCAACATAGATAAGCCAGATCCCAGGGTGAATTTACAGGGCTGGCAGTTAGGATCAAATGGGTGTGGTACATCCATTTCACGACTCAGCATAAAACTGTCAACTCCTTAAGATCACATTGAGACCTGGATTGTGTATCATTGCCAGTGATGATGATTCTACAGGTCATATTCCACCCTAACTAAAATCTGTGCAGCTTCATTATATTCAATGGGACTGTATAGGTTTACGAGAGGGAAAAAGTTTTGATTTCAGTGGACTGACACAGGCGTAGAACTGGAGTACCATAGTGGTGAATCAGGCCAAATATATTTCCACTTGTAAAATGAACACATATGAACTCAATGAGCTACAATAAGCACAGAACCTCATGAAGCCATATTTAGTAACTTTTCAGACTGGAACTACACATTAAAAACACTTTATGGGAATATGGTTCCAAACACGTTTAGCACCAATATGCTTTTTTAAGTTAAATGCGTCATTTTAAAAATAGAGAGAACATAAATATATGTTATCTTTTGTACATAAAGCTTACTTAAGATTAATGAATGTAACCTAAAATGTCTTTAGAGTAAACATTTAGCAGTTCTTCCAGGTGTACATCAGAAAAAATGCATCTCGTAGCAAACCTAAGAAACATTTTAGTTCAAATCATATACCCAATTTAAAAATGTCCAATAGATGAAGTAGGTATCTACAAAATACCTTTTCAAGTAAAACATCTATTTATCATCATTTCAATATTTTTTAATGAATCTACTGAATTACCTACCGTTTGCAACTGCTCTTCCACTCTATCTTGTTATTTTTCTTCAAGTTAGTCTTTGGAGAAAACATGGTCATTCTGAGAAGAAGAAAACAGGCTTTGCTATACCTATATAAAGGCACTTCTGAAACATTGTTCAGGAATAAGTATTTTATTTAAAATAACAGTGATTCGGTTTTCCTCTTCATACATGCAGTTGTTCCATTAGTGACAGTGAGAAATATGTACATATCAACAGAAGAATAGATCCCTGTAATCATCTTACTTTCTAGTTCACTCCCAAATATTGCTTGTAATAACACACTTGATGGGTGCTACACTTTGAAGAACATAAAGGCCTGAGATATCTACTTCTGAACAGCAGCCTTTTTACACAAGTAGTTAGTAGGATGTCACTGTACCAAGTGGATAGAGCTCATTCTACACATTTTGAGATGACTTGAAAAAGTTGCCAATAGGAGATGGTAGTTTCTAGCACATATGATTGTTCCCAGCCCCAATCAATCATCTAACAGAACCATAAGCCCTCCTAGCCCAAATCAAACAATTTTACCCTTCTCTCCAAGTCTCTTTCAAGGACCCAAACTGGTGGCCCATACAATTGTAGCATAATTCCTCCTTCATTTTACCACAACCATTCATATTTATGAATATCCACACAACTATTATACACTCACACACAATATACACATATTTACACACACGCATACGTAACTGGCTCTGGGATCTAAGAATCTTGGGCATTTATGTACAACTTACACCCAGCATGGATATAATGTTTTTGTGAGCTAACCTTAACACTGAGTGATTTTTACTGGTCTAAATTCTACTCTCAGTTACATTCAGGCAACCTAACTTAGTCACTTATTTAACCTGGATGGTCACATTGTGACATGAGCGCAAAAATCTTTATGGGGTTAAAACATGTCATTTTAGTTAAATTACTTTCACCCTCTGCCCATACAGAAAAACTAGGGGAATTGGTAGTTGTCATGAGTATGTGCCAGTGAGTACAGATTCTAGTTGATGGTTAAAAGTGTCTGAGAAGGGCACACTTGTGCCCTGAAATATAAACAAGATAACCTTTAAGGTTAAAGGACTTGGCATCTGATGAAAATGGGGGAGAGAAAGAAGCCCTGATGACATCTCTAACCTACCTCCCTTTTTTACTCAAAGCAAGGGTTGCCCTAGGCATAAACTGATGCTACCACATGAAACAACTGGTGTTAGGCCTGATGGCTACCTCCCCTCCTACTATCTCCTCCATTGTGAAGCAGCAGCAGCAGAAGAGGAGTGATAACTGGCAGGTTTAGCGCTGGCTATTACTGAAGACAGCTGCAGAAGAGCTTGAACTGAGCTGTCCGAGTGCTACTGTGGGCAGTCTTAATGGGCTTCCTGCACTGTCAGGCACCACGGGGAAGTTGCTTCTGCAGTGCTACTGTAACCCACACACCGCCTGGGTGTGGTGTCCCCTCTAGTGGCACTGAGACCCCTTAGAAATTAATGAGTCTGCAACAGCCTTAGCTAAGAGCCAAGTGGCTTTTAGCTTACGCAGTAGAGGCTCATGCATTAAGCTCCAGAGGTCCCAGGTTCAATCCTGCCTGCTGACGACTGGGGTCTGTCAGTGTTACCCTACTACTAGCCTGGTGCTCCTCCCTCATCCCCTTTAAGCTGCCTCTCAGCTGTGTAGAGGAGTGGAAAAGATGTTGGTTCCCTTGGCAGAAGCAAAGAGAGAATTAGGGGAAGGAGAGAGAGAGATGATAAGAGAGCAAGAATCCTATACAAGAAAGGAAAGAGGGAATTATTGCACACTCTTTATTAAATAGACTTAATAGAGAAAAACAGAAACCAAAAGTACATGTTGAAGGAGAGAGAATGTCATCGAGTGAAAGAGAAGGAAAGAAGCAAGAGAAGTACAGACAGGGGTTAAAGTGGGCCGGTACAGTATACTGGTAAAAAGTGGCTGCTGGTACTGGCCCGTACCCAGCTGACTTTAAAGCAAGGGCCCTGCTTAAAGTGCTGCCGCGGCAGCGCTTTAACGTCGCTGCCTCTTTTGTGACCCCCGTTGGCGGCCCTGCCAGGTCCCTACCAGCAGGGCTACCAATGGGGGAGGGGGCAGTGGCCTGAGCCCTGGGCCCTTTAAATCGCCGCTGGAGCCCCGGGCGGTGCGGGCCAGGGGATGCTGATCCCCCAGCCCCGCCCCTTCTGCCCAAGGCCCCCAGACCAGTAAGTTTTCAGAGTTACTTTCTCCCCTGAGTATGGTGAACAAAAGTTGCATGTGTCTATCCCTATTGATGAAATGAGGTATTATTAAGTATCAATAGATTGCTCATAAACTGAGTATTTTAATTTCTAACACATTGTTAGCAGCCTATTTATCTGTATTTTGTACCATTATTTTATTTTCAATGCATCATTTATTCCACAGTTGCCACAAGGTATTTCTACATAATAAAAAAGGAAACAAGGTACAGTAATATTACATCCATATAAAATACCTTTAATAGCATTTCTACTCACTGTGGTGCTGTTGTGTAGCCTGATGACTTAATTTTACTGTGGAAAACCAGTGACTGGTCTTTCATTGTGTCCTTCATACCTGCATTAAAATAGCTTGAACTTTTAGTAGAGAATTTTCTTAACATTACATTTCCATAATTCAAGTTAGAGGGAAATTATTTCTTTAAGATAATGGAACAATTGCTGTCTCCTTATGTATAAATTGTTCTACATTCTAAATATTTAAAATTGGATAATAATTATGGAAGATGTGTCAAATTAATTGTCTAGAATACCAGTAACTGGACAGTTGAGAGAATACAATTTATATTTCTTTACATATTGCTGTTTATGTGACAAATCAATAAAACAACAAATGCTAAACACCAGATTAAAATTTTAATTATTAAATATTAGATTTAATATTTCACCTTCTACAGCATTCACTTGAAAGTGATCATAGATATCACTAATACCAGCTTCCATAAAAGCCTTCAACTGCAGGAAGATTTATAGTTTTGTAGCCCCGCGGTGAACCGCAGCCTCTGGGAGCTGCAAGCAGTTGTACCTGCTTACGCTCAGGTAAACAAAGCATCTCACGGCCCGCCAGGGGCTTATCCTGAACAAGCCACAACTTTGGGAACCACTGCCCTAGACAAGTAATATACAATCCCACAATAGTACATAAGATTTGAATTTATAATACAATGGTCTCCAAAGCTGTCTGAACTCAATAAGATCTCCCAAGGATACTGCAGAAATTGCCATATCTGTGGAGGTAGCTGCACCACCTCTATACAACTGGGACAATGAGATGACAAAAATTTTCTTCCAGTACCTGAAAAACTTTAAGTAATGAGACGCTTTTACTTAAAAGCAGCCTCCCCCCCCCCCCCGAGATGAAATTCATAGGGAAGAATATTATCTGGCAGCAGGTTAACACCCTGTTCATGAGTCTTAGGGGGTTCATGTCAAAAGGCAAATCAGTGATCTTTTGCTAGAAGTGTGAGGACAAACCGTACAAATTATGCCTTGATCTCTAGTCCCTCTTGAAGGATATACTGGACAGCCTGATATACTTTGCTTGGATGATATTCTACAAAAGTCATAAGTTGCCAATGGTTATGAACACAGACATAGCTGGATTCACTATCCTGACAGCGTTATACAGCTCACACAAAGCACTCTTTGCAGAGAACTATGGAGCTAACTGAAAGTAAGACATCAGTCTGCTTTAAAGAATGCACATGATCCTGCTCCTACTAAAGTCAAAGGGAAATTATATACATAACAGCCTCCCTAAGCAGATGTCTTATATTTCCATTACAAATGCTATTGACTATTAGAAACTCTATTGACTACAAGTCTGAGCAATATATAATTATACAATGATGGGAGACAAAAAGCATCCCAATTTTGTCCTATGATGTTATGACAAGGTTCAACAAATACATCCCCCATACAATAGGAAACGACTTAATCATACATTTTTTTTGATAACCCAACTATTCAAAGACAGAATAGTTCTCCTTTCCACTGTCATCTCATCTGGTTGATTCATGTACTCTGTACTACTTTACATATTTTTTTCTTCTGCATTTCTCATACACTAGTTCCAACAGCTATTTTTGCACCACTTTTCCTCCACTTGAGAAGGAAGAGTGATTGGTTTCTTCTAATGCCTGTTCATGAACTGACACGGACTCCAGTGTTCCTGAAACAAAATGTGAAACTGACATTCTTGTCAATTTTATGGCTGCCATTCACTGAATAGCAGCCATGAAAATGACAAGAATGTTGATTTCACTTAGCTGCTCCACAGCAGAAAGTCTGCTAGCCTTTGGTTCCCCAGCTGGAGCTCTAGGAGCTGCTAGGATTCCCACTTCAGACAGAGCTTTGGGGAATGAGAGGCATCCTGCAACAAAGCGCGGAGCCTAGCAGCCCCAACAATCCTATGTTACATGTGCTACCACGGGTATTGGAAGTAGACCGGTTGAAATCTTTACAATCAAGTAAGCTCTGCATTTGCATGGGGTTTGCTTTCGTTAAAAATGTTGTCAAAAGACAACTCATTCAAGAGGAGGACCGGAAAACTGACCATGAATACATACGAATTTAAAGAAGACAATACTGAAAATTATAGTAAATCTCCTTGGAAAAAGAGCAAAACTAACTAACTTGAATCACATGTGCAAACTGAAAAGCTGTGGTGTACTAAAAACTCTGTTAAATTGTAGACTCTCACTTCAAATTTCAAGGTGGGGTCCTCATCCTACTCGTAGACTAGAGCACTCTGTAGGAAAGTGTGCAAAACTGGACCCAAAAGCAGTCAATTTTGCAAGCAGACAGCTAAAGTAGGTGAGGTGAGTTGTGCCCCTTTGTTTTAGGAACTAGCCTGCTTTGTCTCTCTGTTCTTGGGATCTTGCAAGTTATCATTCAAAGAAATAAAATAGTGTTATGTTGCAATCTGCCAGCAACAGTATTTCATGTTTTTTATCTAACTCCTCTGTGTGCATGCCATGACACATAATCAAAGGTTCCACACTCCCTACAGAAAGTTCTCAAAAGTTTAATTTTTTAAAGACCACCACTTATACATGTACATTTTTAGGAAGGAAAGTAGCACTAAATAAAGCATAGAATTGAAAATATAATGCAACTTACAAGTTGACAATAAAAATAATATATCGACTAGATATAGCACTAGTTAGCTATACGAGGTAATATTATGAAGAATCTGTATGTTGACTGTTCACCTTAAGATTGGTTTACACTTACCAAGTTTTTTTTATTGGTAGGTTTGCAGCTTTCCTTCTTCAAAGACTCAGTACACAATGGAGAATTTGGCAACAGAGAGCAACTAAAGATAAAAATCAACAAAATTGCATTAGATACATGTGACATTGCACCCCATAATGCTTTATGGAAATATGCTTATGAATGTATATATGACATAACTGGAATACGTTTCATGCTACATATGCCATGTAACATATCTCTGCAAAGGTTACGATCTACTGAATATATTCATCCTATTTGTATGCATGTATCATGTTTGTATTTGCAGTTATGAATATTGGCTGCGTACTTGTTTGATTGTAAGTAGCCTTAGTAAGGCATTTGGTCAGCTTCTTAAGAAAGGAATTTGCAAGTTAAGTGCCCAATCAAGAAACACTTAACAGACAAGGGAACCTTGGAAGATTCCAATCCACATAAGAAGTTTACCTGGGGACATTCAAGGTAGCATGTAAGCAATGGTTGCCACTTGTAAGGAACTGGGTCATGCATGGACATCTGACTTGCCCATGTGACTCCAAAACTCCATCTTGGAGCTGGATTCTGCATAGGAGAGAGGAGGGGGTCTCCACCCACAAGAGAAAGTCTATTTAAGCCCTTGGGAGACCCTGCCAGTTTTGTCTTCAGCTGGCTCAAGAGATAGCCTCTCCACCCCAAAGGATACCTGAAAGAAACTGGAACAAAGGACAGTAACTACAGGGGTGTGAGTGATTGCTGGACCCAGACTAGAAGGCGGCTAGTCTGTAAAAGAGGCTTATTGGAACATCTCTGAGGGTGAGATTTTATCTGTATTCAGCTTCTTACTGTATTAGGTGTAGACTTGCGTGTTTTATTTTATTTTGCTTGGTAATTCATTTTGTTCTGTCTGTTATTACTTGGAACACTCAAATCCTACTTTTTGTATTTAATAAAATCACTTTTTAATGCATTAATTAACCCAGAGTATGTATTAATACCTGGGGGGGCGGGGGCAAACAGCTGTGTATCTCTCTCGATCAGTGTTATAGAAGGCAAACAATTTATGAGTTTATCCTGTATAAGCTTAATACAGGGTAAAACGGATTTATTTGGGGTTTGAACAGCCTTGGGAGCTGGGCATCTGAGTGTCGGAGACAGGAACACTTCTTAAGCTGTTTTCAGTTAAGCCTGTAGCTTTTGGGGGACGTTGTTCAGACCTGGGTCTGTGTTTGTTGCAGGCTAGCGTGTCTGGCTCGAACCAGGCAGGGCACTGAAGTCCCAAGCTGCCAGGGAAAGTGGGCTCAGAGGTAATCCCAGCACATCAGTTGGCAGTTCCCAAGGGGTTTTCTGTGATCCAACCCGTCACAATAAGATCTTCATATTAGAATAAAATACTATAAGTTATATTTTTTGCTATCAGATAGAGACAGAGAAATACCAATTAGCGTTTTGCAAAGTGCAAATTTGAAGAATGCACAGTTGACTAAGTCCACCCCAAATGTATGGTGTTACCAGGACCACACAGGCACAGCCAAACCTGACCTAGGATTAGGACTCCCAAAACATTACTCTAAGACAGGGGTGGGCAAACTATGGCCCGCGAGGCTGTCCTGCCCGGCCCCTGAGCTCCTGGCCTAGGAGGCTCACCCTCGGCCCCTCCCCTGCTGTCCTCCTCCCCCACAGCCTGAGCTCGCTCCTCTGCCACCGGCGCAATGCTCTGGCTGGCGGGGCTATGAGCTCCTGGGGCAGCGCAGCTGCAGAGCCCGGCCTGACCCAGTGCTCTGTGGTGGCGGCAGCGGTGGCAGCGTGGCCCGTCTCCAGCCGGGTGGCGTGGCTGGAACGCCCCCAGCGCTCCAGTCAGCATGGTAAGGGGGCAGGGGAGGTTGGATAGAGGGCAGGGGAGTTTGGGGTGGTGGTCAGGGGGCAGGGGTGTGGATGGTGGTTGGGGGGAGGAACAGGGGGTTGAATGGGGACAGGGATCCCGGGGGGCAGTCAGGAAGGAGGAGGGGTTGGATGGGGCAGCAGGGGGCAGGGAGAAGGGGTGGTTGGATGGGGAGGGATCCCGGGGGGGCAGTCAGGAATGAGAGGAGGGGTTGGATGGGGCGGCAGCGGTCTGGGGCAGTCAGGGGACAGGAAGTGGGGTGTGTGGATGGGGCAGGGGTCCCAGAGGGGCCATTAGATAACAGGGGGGGTTGGATGGGGCAGGAGTCCCGGGGGGAGCAGATAGGAGGTGGGGGCTGGGCCAGGACACCCTCCCCTAACCAGCCCTCCATACTATTTACGAAACCTGATGCGGCTCTCAGGTCAAAAAGTTTGCCCGCCCGCGCTCTCAGAATTTTTTAAAAAAACCCAATTCATTGCTCATTTATTTGAATACTGACTGAAGAGTCCAAGACAGTATGGGTGAAGTGCTGGCCCTACTGAAACCAGTTGAAGGTCTGCCAAGGATTTCAGGATTTCACCCACTATATTAGCTAAACTACAGTATTTTACAGTGATAGGCAAATGAGTAGATTAATAAGATGTGATCATGGAACAATATAACCTCTAATGTTTTTTAATCTGTGTATTTCAGATTTAGAATACAAATCCATAGTTCTGTACACTGAGAAAAAATGAGAGGTTACTCACCCTATGCAGTAACTGGAGTTCTTCCAGATGTATCTCCTCCACAGGCACTCCGTTTTAGATGTGCTTACACCCCATGCACCTTTGAGCTGAGATTTTTGGTAGTACCACTTGTTTGGCTCACACCTTTGCCCTACAAATCCTTGTACCCCGGACTGAAGCTATAAAGGGCTGTACAGTCAACGTGCCCTCAGTTCCTTCTCAACCGCAAAGTCCTCAAAGGAATCTCTGAAGCAAAGGGGAAGGAGGGCAGGTAGTGGAACACCCATGGGGACACACATCTCAAAGAACTCCAGTTACTGCACAGGGTGAGTAACCTCTCCTTCTTCAGGGGGCTTCACTTCAAGTGACTACTGAGCAGTAGCCGCAGGTTGAGGATGGGGCTTCAGAGCCACATCCAAGACTGACAAAACTGCATTCCCAAAGGCGGTATCTGATCTTAAAGACTGGACTACAGCATAATGTCTGGAAAAGGTACATCTTGGGTATATACTGAAGTCCAAGTTGGAGCCTTGCAAATGTCCAGAATAGGAACACATTTGAGCAAGACCATAGAGATAGAGATCTCGTGGAATGGACCAAGCCCCTAGAAGGAGGTTGAATGTCAGATGATCTGAAGCATGATACAGCACGATCAGAAGTCCCCAAGTCGAGCGACTCTGGGTGAAAACTGCTGAACCTTTAGATCTATCTGCAATGGACACAAACTGTCTGAGTAAATTCCCAAATTACCTGACTCTGCCCAGAAAAATGGCTAATGCCTTCCTAACATCCAAGGTTTGTAATGAAGCAACCTCCCTGGACTGATAAGGTTTTGGGAAAAAGATGGAAAGATGTATGAGTTGATTAATATGAAACTCCTATGACACCTTGATTAAAATTTAAGATGGGGACATAAGGAAACTTTGTCCTTGAAAAATACTATAAACAGAGGGTCCTGTGGCACCTTTGAGACTAACAGAAGATTCAGACTAACACGGCTACCCCTCTGATACTTGATATAAACAGAGGGCCTTCCATGGGAGCCCCTATTTCTCCAACCCTTCATCCAGAGGCAATGTGGCCATCTTCATAGAAGAATTAATGAGGGAAGAGGTAGCCACTGAATCAAAAGGGAAGATTCATAAGGCATTTAAGTACAGATTCAAATCCCAAATTAGAGTGGGTTCCTTAACTTGAGTGAAAAGGTTCCACAACCCTCTGAGAAACCTCACAGTTGTGGGATGAGCGAAAACTGAAATCCTTCAACTAGGGAATAAGAGGCTGCTATAATTGCTAGGTGTACCCTGATAGAACTTTTACATCATTTTTGTCTTTTTAAATTCTGGAAGGTAATCCAAAATATTGAGAAGGATGAGTGAACAGGTGGAAAATGTCTCTGATCACACCAAATGCTGAACCTCTTCAACTTGTTAAGTTACGTATATCTCATGGAATCTTTTCTACTGTTCAATAATACCTGTTGTACCTCCTCAAAACATGAAGTCTCTATTCCTATGAACCATCGAGAAGCCAAGCTTTGAGATGAAGGATCCTCGGGTAGGGTGAAACATCCGACGTGCTTCGTAAGAGAGAATAAGAGGAATGGACAGAGGAGCCATTGCCTGACAAACAGGTGAATTAGGTCTGTCTGGGCCATGTCAGAACTATTAATATGATCGTGGCCTTGTCATGCTTGATTTTGTTTACCACCCTCAGAAGCAGAGGTATCAGAGATGGCCTCTTGTCCACAGAATAAGAAAGGCATCTCCCACTGAGAGATGGTCTAAGCACCCTTCCCGCCAAACAAAGTCATTCGCACTTCTTGTTGCTAATGATCTTGTAGCGGGATGGTCACCCGCTCCTGCTCTGAGGGGGTTAAAAACAGCCCTTGGAAAGGACGGGGGGTGAGAGAGAACACCCTGGGCTGATTGGGGGAAGTAGCTGCAGCTGGGCCACGCCCCAATCAGAGCCCAGCTGGCCCTATAAAGGCCAGGGTGGCCAGACGCTCAGCAGTCTCTCTCTGAGTGCAGAGAGAGAAGGGCCTGGCTGCAGGGAACTAGAGCAGAGTACCTGGGTGGAGCAGGGCTGGGGAAAGGCTGGGGAGCTCCAGCCTGGAAAGACCCAGGCTGCGGCCTAGTGTTAGGCCAGGAGGTACTGGGAGTTGCAGAGGGCAGCCCGGAGATAGGCCAAGGCAGCAGGCCCAAACCCAACCTTGTCTGTGATGAGTAGGCTGATACTGCAGTCTGCCCCAGGGAGTGGGGCTAGATGGTGACTGGCAGTAGCCTGACACTGAGGCGGGGTAGGGTAGTGAGTGGGGTTCCCCTGGGAGGAGAGACCTAGCGTGTGGGTACTGCCAGCGTGCAGCACCTTGAGCAAGGGGCACCGGGGTCCTGGGAGGGACACGGGGCCCAGAAGTAGAGAGCAAAGCAGATCACCGGCCTGCAGAGGGTGCTCCGGAGGCTGGGTTGAGCTAATTCCCTGAGAGACCAGCAGGAGGCGCCGCAGGGGTGAGTCCGCTCGTGTTACAGATCTATATCTGGAACCCCCAAGTCAAAGATCTGATTGAGTATCTGAGAGTCCAACTCTCACTTGTAGTCCTGAAACTCCCACACAGACCTTATTTGGGTCTTTCCATCAACCGAGAGAATCGCAAACTTGACAAGGGACCAACACCAGCTTGCTCAGACTGTGTTTGTTTGGAGTCTAAACAGTCCTGAGCCAGCCCTGGAAACATCAAAGGTGTAGCCTGGCACGAAGTGTCACAAAGGTACATGCTGCCATGTGTCTGAGCAGTTGAAGAAAATTTCTTATTGATGTCTGTGTGCTGATTTGAATCGTTGAGATTAAAGCTGTTAACATCAGGAACCTGACAGTGGGCAGGTAAGCCCTGGCTGATATTGCATCTAAGGAGGCCCCTATAAACTCTATCCATTGTACCAGGGTCAAAATAGATTTCTTGACGTTGACCTGCAACCCTAACTCACAGAACAGGGACTTTGCCATCCTTACTGCAGAGAGAACCTCACTGAAGATTTCAGGGTAGCAGCCGTGTTAGTCTGTATCCTCAAAAAGAACAGGAGTACTTGTGGCACCTTAGAGACTAACAAATTTGTTAGTCTCTAAGGTGCCACAAGTACTCCTGTTCTTTTTTCACTGAAGATTGGCCCTTGAGTAGCCAGTCATCTAGACAGACATATAATTATCCCCAGTTGTTCGAGGTAAGCTGCAACCCCTGCTAACATCTTCCAAAACACCCTGGGGGCAGAAGAGAGACCAAATGGGAGCACTCAATACTGACAGTGATCTTGATCATCAAAAAGCAAAGGAATCGCTTGAGATGGATGAATGGTGATATGAAAATAGGTTTCCTGAAGATCAAGGGCCGACAACCAATACCCCAGTTACAATGATGGAATTATCACTGTGGGAGTCACCATCTTGAATTTTTGAGATTTCAAAAAGTTATTTAGGAGTCTTAGATTTAAAACCGGTCTCCATCCCCCGTTTTTTTTCAGGACCAGGAAACAGCTGGAGTAGAAGCCCCCTCCCTTCTGTGCTGAACTGGAACTTTTCTGTGGCTCCTATAAGCAGAAGGGAGTCAACTTTCTGACTTAGGAATGACTCATTAGCGGAGTCCCTGATGAGCAACAGGGAGGGGGAAAAGAGGACAGCAGGAAGGGAGGAAAAATGGATGGATTACCCCAATCTTATAACTGATGGCCGGGGGGGAGGTGCTGGCCTGGATCTGATACTGAATGGAGAGAACGTTCCACCATTAAGAGTCAGAGTCTCATCTCTCAATTCTTTACAGGCAGAGCTAGGAAAGCAGAGCAAACGGAGCACTTTTGAGGGACATATGACTCCTCCAAGCAGCGGATGCACTGGGAATATCCGTCACTGACGAGGAGAACTTTCTGGCAAGAGAGGCACCGTTTGAAGCCTAGAGAGCCTGGCATACTCTAGAGCAACAGTGATCTGAGGAGAAGGGGGAAGGAATTGAGACTAACCCTTCAAAATACAAGCTAGTTAGCTCACTAGGTACATAGATAAGTAGGAAAGGTAATTAGTTTGTAGTTTTGAACAGAAAGGCACACTAACAATCTAATAATAATAATAATTAGTGGAGATATCCCATCTCCTAGAACTGGAAGGGACCTTGAAAGGTCATCGAGTCCAGCCCCCTGCCTTCACTAGCAGGCCCAAGTACTGATTTTGCCCCAAATCCCCAAGTGGCCCCCTCAAGGATTGAACTCACAACCCTGGGTTTAACAGACCAATGCTCAAACCACTGAGCTAAATCTGTCTCAGGATGAAGCAGCAGAGAAGGAACTAAGGGTGGTTCAACTGCACAGCCCTATATAGTCTCAGTGCCGGGCAGGAGGATGTGTAGAGTGCACGCATGGGCCAAATGGGCTCTACCACCAAAGATCTCTGATCAAAGGTTCATGGAATATAAACACATCTGAAGTGGAGCACCTCTGGGGACACTACTAGAACCATGAAATATTTGAAACCATCCCATACCTTGCAATAACTGAAAGCCTCTTCTCCTTTCCACATAAGAGAAAATCACTCTGCTGAGATCTCATCAAAGCAGCAAGGTTAATCTCCAGCAAAGCAATCGTATTTTCAAACATCGAGGTAAGCAAGCAGAAAACCTGCAGTGACAAGACCATGATGTAACATTCCCTTCACTTCAAATTAAGCTATAACTCTAAATAAACGTTATTGATGACAGCAGAAAGTGAGGGATTATTCAATGCCATTCATGAAAACTGCAAATAAACCAGTAACTGTTAGATAGATTAGATAAAATCAAAGGGTTAAGCAGTACTCAGGAGGGCAGCCATTGTCTTCCTAAACATATGTTCAAACTGGTTAAGGAACTTAATTGCACCCCAAACTGGCCTGCATACCTGGGGTGAAGTGTGAACTCTAACCCCCTCTACATTCCTGATACCATAAAAGTAGCATGAAAAGGAAGTGTATCTAGGAGGAAATTCCGTGGGTTTTCAAGGAAGTGAATTTATATCAAGATCCTGGGCTGCAGGAATGAGTGAGCAGAAGTCATCTTTAAAACAAAAACGCTCCTGTTTTTAAGTAGGAATAAGGCCCTTGGCTCAGTTTACAGTCCTGTGGGCAACAAGCACTGCAGCAAATAGGCCATACCAGCAGGAAAAACTCACATGCCCTAAGTAACAGGTCATGCTTTCTTGATGTGGTGCACAAGATGTGGTGCACTTGATGTGGTGCATCATCAAATAACTTTCAGAGCTCTCTCAAAAAGATTGGAAGGGATCCTGCCCTGCAGCTTGCTTGGGAACAGGGCTGGCCTTACCACAAGGCAAACTGAGGTGGCCACCTCAGGTGTCAGACTGTGGGGGGGGTGCCACTAGGACCCAGAGTGTAGAAAATTGTGTCTGCTGGTGGTGCATATGTATCCTCTCTGCTCTAGATGCACAGAGATGGTGGAGTGCTGTACTGGAGGAAGGAGGGCACAAGAGACATAACAGGTAGGCAGGAGAAAAGGTGAGCAGGAATAACAGAAAGCAGCAGGAGCTGCAGGGAGAGAGAGGAGAAGGAGGAGCTTCTTATGTACCTCTCTAGCACCCCCCAGGAGCCTGGACTAATTAACACCAGCTTCTCAGGGAGCTTCCTGTTTCCTGCTGCTTCCCTGAACCCATTTGAGGAGAACAGTCAACTGAAGTAGTAGGAGCCAGTTAGGCCTTTAAGACGCTGATATCTTCCCTCATTCAGGCCCTCCTACCAGCCTGCTTATTTGTCCCCTTCAATTGAGTGTTGAGAGCCACTATAGCTGGCACAGAACAGCAGTCAGAGTGAAAGAAGAAAACGCCCCTCTGGGGCAGCATTCAGAAAAAGAAAACAAGCAAAGGAAGCTTTTCTATCTAAGCAGGAAGGAGCTCTCCTGAGATACATAGACACAGATGTTCACGGGGAGCCTTCCGGCCCCAGTGAGGACATGAATGGTGAGGAGATGCCTGATCTTTCAGTTAGTCAGAGTGCAGGTGACATGGCAGCTACTGCAGCATCCATATCTCCATCTCAAATGGATGGAACCATGCTCATTCCTGAAGAAAAGTGTAGATCAGAGAAGAGAGTGGTGGAGGCGCAAGAAACAGCTGTGCTGAGTTTAGTTCCTTAAGTCTAGATGATCCAGGACTGTGGACCCACTTGAGCAGTATCCTGAGGGACTTCCTTGTACTGCATGGGCCACAGCAAGTGAAAAATTTCATGTTCCCCAAAGACAATGAAAATAGAAGTTTCCATCCAACACATTACTGGCGCGAAATCCCCAATGGTGAGCACCTGCCTCATTTGTTGTTCCTGACATAACTGTCTGAGGTTCATATCAAAAACTAGAAACATCTATTTAAGTTTTTGTTACAAATAATAGTATATACGTGGTGGGGATTTTAAAGTTACTCATTGACTATACAGTGGAATCATCAACCACCTTCAGTAAAAGTACTATACAATTCACAGCAAGTAAAACAAAATTTATTCAGCATGCTTTCAACATTTTGATAACAAAACTTTAGAAAATAAAACAGAGAAGTTTAAAAATAATTGAACAGTATTTGCACCATTCACCTGAAAGTTATTGAAACTTAATAACTTGTTTAATAAACATAGTAATTGTGTGCTTACCTTCCCATTAACTGCCTTCCTCATTAATGCGCATGATCCAGCAAACTGAATGGTGAGGCCACTGTAATCTTTACCAGAAAAATTGTAAAATTGTATTGTCCTTTTTTTAAACAGGAAATTAAATCAGAGAAAATATTGAGTGCAAATCACTTCTGTACTAATTTTACACCAGTGTAACTCCATTGTCTTCAGTAAAGATACTCCCAGTTTACATCAGTAAAAGTGCAACATGAACAAAGCCCTTATGTCTAATAATCGTAAATAAATTATAAAATTAGATGCAAATTCATTACTAATTATTTCATAACAGTGTGCTAGTGCAACTGATCAGCACAACTAGGAAAAGGGACAGCATGTGAATTATAACCATGTATTGATCAGGAGCCCTGGCTTTCAGCCCTATGCAACCATTTTTGCATACAAATCCTTATATCATTCACATCAGATCAGAGGGAAAAAATAAATACTTATGAATCATATCAAACTGTAATTAAATATTTTATGATCATACCTTTATAATGTAAAACTGCTTCTAATTCAAAGTTTGCCAAGTTAATTATGAACAAACCAGTAGAGCTTCCTATCCACAAACATCTGGCATTTACAGCAGGAAAACTAATTGTAAACGGAAGAAAAAGAGTTATCTGTACATTTTCCTTTTTATCACTTAAGATACACACAAACTGCTTTGTTCAAGCATTCTATTCCCCATTCCACCACCACACAAAGAAAAATGGCATCCCAAAAAAATGAAACTGGGCATTACAATGTTAAATGGAGATTTTTTGAAAATACAAGTAAATTAGAAAATTTGACAGGCTTTGAGAAGTAAGAATAGAAATATTTATGATTTTCTGTAACGGCTCAAAATGTTTAGGTTCTGAAAGAGAGAAGCCAAACTAATCATAATACAGTACAAGCAAACAGAAAAGATGAATGGGAAAAAGCAGATGGTGTTTTTAATATGGACTTTTTACTTCTATGCATTTGTTTCTTTTATGGTGGTGAATCAACATTTACTACAATTCCTGAAATATAACAGTTACAGTGTGGTAATTTTTTTGTATTTCTAAGATTTCTACTAATGTATTTTAATTTTAAGTCTTCCTCCTACTCAACTTACTATGACTGGGAAGTTTCTTATCTCTTGGAGTGACATCCTAAGAGTAGAACTGGTCAGAAATTTTCCATTGGAAAATGCTGATTTGATGGAATTGAAATGTTCCAAGGAAACATGCCAGTTATGTCAACATTTTCAGTGGAAGCCACATAGGCTGGCAAGCTGGCCTGCCTGATCTGCCTCCCACCTGCCCACTTGAGTAGGCAGGTTGGCAGAAAATCAGAATCCCCAGCTAGCCTGCTCCCCAGTTGCCCACCTAGTGGGCATGCTGCCTGGCTCCCCAGATGCCCACCTGGCAGGCAGGCAGCCCCAGAATTCTAGCTGGCTGGCTTCTGGGTGGGCTCCCTGTTTTTCTATATTATACCAACCATAACAGAAAATTATCAATTACTAAACAAAATACCAGTTAGACCCATTACAAGTGACCAGGTAGAATACCGGTTGAACAAACCAAGTACCAATTAAAAACAATTAGAATATCAATTACTAATTCTAATACCAAGTAGCCATTGCAGTACTAATTACCAGTTAGCAATTTATATCAAAATATATAATATAATCATAAACATATTTATATTATGATATGTCAAAATACTCAAACATTGAGACTTTTATATTATATTATAAACATATATAACTAAAGTCTAATTGTCAATCAAAACCAAATGATTTTGATAGTATTGAAATAAAATGTAGATAATGTCAAAACAAAATGTCATTTCAATTTATTTGAAACCAAATTAGGGGATTTTGTTCTGCAGGAAGTTTCAAAATGTCTGGGTTTTTTTTGTTTTTTTGTTTTGTTATGATTCTTAAAATATATATATATATATATATATATATATAG